TGTGTGTGTGTGTGTGTGTGTGTGTGTGTGTGTGTGTGTGTGTGTGTGTGTGTGTGTGTGTGTGTAGTGCTGGGGAACTGAACCCAGGTCCTTGCACACGTGAGGCAAGCGCTCTGCCAGTAAGCTACACTCTAGCCCACAACTTAGTAATACTTTCAGATATACCACACAGGCGAGAAGTTTTATCAACCACACACATTTTGTAAGAGAAGGCTGGACAGCCTTGCAGGCCCCAAGGAGCCAATAGAGATGGTGCAATGCCCAGACGTGGACAGGAGATGCACCTCCAATCAGAAAGCACACACTAACCTAGCTTTCTTCACTGAACAGTGGGCTGGAGCTGCCCCTCATCTTTTCAGCCAACCTGCCCATATGCACATACGAACACTCTCCAAAACACAGGAAAATGCCAAGGACAAGAAACCAGAGCCGGGCGAAACAACTAGGAGAAGAAAGCAAGGCAGATGTGGTTTTCCCAGGGGCTGTGGGAAACAGCGCCCCCTCCCCAGCACCAGGACCCCTGTACAACCAACAGGCAGACCCTCACACAGCCAGGCTAGGGCCTACAAGAGGTGTGGTGAGACACAGGACCACAGAGAAGTAGGCAGATGACCAGCACCTCACAGAAGGTGCAGATGGAGACTAGGCAGCCTGAGACTAGTCCCAGTTCCACCACCACCTAGCGGTGACCTTGGGGAAGACACTCCTGAACCTGGCCAAAGCAGCCCTAAGCCTGTTCCCAACATGCACTTGTCCCTAAGAGGAGTGCCCTTGCCAACCAAGAGAAGTGTCCTCCAAAGGGCAGGAGAAGGTGGACTGGGAGGTGGTGTTGTGTTAATGAGACTTCAGACAGATCCCGGAGCAGCAGAACAAAACTCAGATGGGAGTCAAGTCTTACCCAGCCATGGAGCTGGCAGCCAGGAGGCCTCTGCAGGTGTCCAGGACAGTAAGACATGGAGTTTGGGGTAGAGGGAGGGAGGCAGGTTAGGGCAGAACAAAGCCACCCATCAGTGTGGAAACAAGCAGAGGAGTGAGAAGCAGTGAGTCAGGAGATAGACTCAGGTCAGGTCAAGTTTGCCTTGACCTGAGTAACTTTTAGGACACAAATGTGCAAAACTCCTAGAAAACAACTGCTAGAAAGCGAAACACACAAAGCCATTTTTTTTAAATGGTGTTCAAAACTGAAGATGTTGGAAATCAGTTAAAGACATTCACAAGAGCCAGGTGTGGTGGCATCCGAGCACTCGGGAGTTGAGGCAGAAGGATCACGAGTTTGAGGCCAGACTGGGTATGTAGTGAGACCCTGTTTCAAATAAACCAAAAAAACAAATCAATAAATAATAAATCTAACTGAGAAATTTACAAGAGCAAAAAAGACAAGCAAGAAAACAAGGAGACAATGTTGTTTCCAGGAAATTGGCCAGGCAGACAGACTCCTGCCCAGCCTTTACAGGGTAAACCACAGGCACCTAAGTCCCTGGACCAGCGGTAGATAAAGCATGGAGTGTCACAGGGGACTGTCCTCAGCAGTGACTAACCCACCCAGGTCCTACGAAGTCAGAACAGAAAGAACTAGCAGAGTGCGAGGAAAAGGGTGAGAGGCACTGTGACCCATTCACGTGAGGACAGGACATGCAGTTGGTGAGCCTGGCGCTGTGCAGGTTACCTCCTGGGGTACAAGTTCTCCGTGTGGACCATGCAGTGGATTTTCAACTGCTCACTCTGCCTAGGGCCAGCCTCATACCCAAATCCACAATTAAGACTGATGACTTTACTATAGGCCAATCATGTCACATCACCTGTTTAACAAGCATGCAAGATGTTGAGAGAACACGCCAGACTAGGAGAAAACACTGACAAACATCAGAGGTGAACTGTTCCAGAATACATGAAGAACTCTCAATACCCAAAAAGAAAACAACAACCCAACAGACAAGTGGACAAAAAACTGTTGAATAAGCCCATGAGATGTTCAGCCATCAGTCATTAGGAAATCCCAAGCTAATGAGCTGCCCAATAACATAATAAAGTTGAAGACTGACCATACCACATTGTGGATACACAGACACCAGAGACTGACTACACCCACGCTGGAAAGACAGACGCCAGAACCCTCTGCTGTGGGAACATGAAATGGTGCCTCATGTTGGGAATCCTTTAGCTATCATGAAAGATTATGATCCAGATGCTCACTCCTAGACACTTATCCCAGAAAAACAATCACATATGTCCAAAGGCAGACATATACCAGGATGCCTACTACAGCTTCACCTGCAATGGCCCCAAACCCAAAACAACCAGATGTCCCTCAACAGGTGAGTGGACACGAAGGCCATGTACCCTCACAAGGGAACACCTGTGCAGTGAAGGAGTGAAGTACCCACACATGTGGACACACCTAAGAGAAGCCAGGATAAGCGCCAGCAGACGGTGCAACTTGGTAATATATACTGGGACTGCATCCTGTCACAAAGGCAGCAGGCCAGGGCCTGGTGGGCATGGGGCACACAGGCATTCCATTGTCTTCACCAATGTAACATGTAGACTTGTACATGTCAAAATTTATCAAAACACACATGCTGCACATATGCACAGCCTCCAACACACTCAACAAAGGTGAGTGCAACAACACAGCAATAAGATGACTGCGATCAGTTTTGATTCTGGTCCACAGGAGCCTCATCTACATCAGCCTGGATCTTGTCCCCGGTAAAGGCAGCCACGAGCCCTTCAAATTCAGCACAGGCAGAGCAGCGTGCCCACCTTCCCCAGTACCAACCAGACACCTTCTCCCTCCTTCGTTTCACTCATCCCACTCATTGTCCATCTCAGCCCTGATCCTGACAATACCCTTGCTCCAGTGGGCCGGCCTCCAGGCCCCTGCCCCCATTTCTGTTTACCAGAATGCAGCCCTGACCACCACACATTGGGACATTAGGACAGTCCTAAGATCCTCACTCAACCATCCCTGCTGGGCTCAGACCTCACACCTGGCTGTCTTGGCTCAGAACCCTCTGTGAGTGTGCACACTGCTGCTGCTCTCAACCCTCAGCCCAGCCTGACAGCAAGACACTGGTCTGGGAGTCGAGGCCCTGGCTGGGTGCCCTGTAGTGTGGAGTGTGGCACAGAGCCTGTTCCTGGGCTGTCCTCACAGATGGTACCTGGTCTGAGCATTGCAAGGGTATGCCGGAGAAAGAACACACTAGAACCAGGTCACATTTCACCAGATGTTTTTACAGAATGCACACAGTGAATTACGTGTACATTCCAGGTTGGTGTGGAAACCTTAGTGACCAGCAAACTATGCCACAGCCAAACTTAACTGCCTGTTATTTTGCCCAAGAAACGGGGAAACAGGGCCAACTCCCCACCTGG